ATAGAATATAGAATAGAATAAAACCAAACAAATCAACTGAACATAAAAAAGCTGAATAAAACTGTAGAATACAATAGAATATAGAATAGAACAAAAAAGAATAAAGCAATAGAATATAATAAATAAGAATAAAACTGTAGAATACAATAGAATATAGAATAGAACAAAAAAGAATAAAGCAATAGAATATAATAAATAAGAATAAAACTGTAGAATACAATAGAATAGAATAAAACTGAGGAATACAATAGAATATAGAATAGAATAAAACCAAACAAATCAATTGAATATAAAAAGCAGAATAAAACTATAGAATACAATAGAATATAGAATAGATTAAAGCAGAATAAAGCAATAGAATATAATAAAACTGTAGAATACAATAGAATATAGAATAGATTAAAGCAGAATAAAGCAATAGAATATAATAAAACTGTAGAATACAATAGAATATAGAATAGAACAAAAAATAATAAAGCAATAGAATATAATAAAACTGTAGAATACAATAGAATATAGAATAGATTAAAGCAGAATAAAGCAATAGAACATAATAAAACTGTAGAATACAATAGAATATAGAATAGAACAAAAAATAATAAAGCAATAGAATATAATAAATAAGAATAAAACTGTAGAATACAATAGAATAGAATAAAACAGAATAAAGCAATAGAATAGAATAAAACTGTAGAATACAATAGAATATAGAATAGATTAAAGCGGAATAAAGCAATAGAATATAATAAAACTAGAAGACAATAGAATAGAATAAAAATAATTAAGCAAATGAATATAATAAAACAGAATAAAACTGTTGAATAAAATAGAATAGAATAAAACAAAATAAAGCAACAGAATATAATAAAACTAGAAGACAATAGAATAGAATAAAAGAATTAAGCAATAGGATTGGAATATGATAGAATATAGAATAGAATAAAACAGAATAAAACTGTAGAAAAGAATACAACATTGAATAAAACAATAGAATAGAGTAGAACAGAACAGAATAAAACAAAAGAATACAACACTCAATAGAACAGAATAGAATAAACAGTAGAATAGATTAGAATACAACAGAATAGAACAGAACTGAACAGATTAGAATATAATTGAACAGATTAGATTAGACTGGAACAGAATAGAACAGAAATGATTAAAATGAAATGGAATAGAACAGAACAGAACATATTACAGTAGAACAGAATAAAATAGAACAAAATAAAGTAGAATAGAATAGAATAGAATAGAATAGAATAGAATAGAATAGAATAGAATAGAATAGAATAGAATAGAATAGAATAGAATAGAACAGGTGGTATTTGTTCAGCAACATGTGTATGCATGCATGCAGTTATTCATTAGTACACACAGTGTAATGTGCAGTCAATTCACTAATTGGCTATTGCAGTTCACACTGTTAGTGAACATTGCTGCTGATATATCTATTTGTCTATTAAATGATCTATTTCACCACATTGCTTATAGATAAGACTTGAAGTCTATAATGTATAACTATAATGTACAGTGATTTGACCAAACTGCAACATGTAGTGCTTAACACTCTTTAGCCACAGTAAAATCATTTTGACAGCCTCGTGCTACTCGTGACTTTATGAAATGCTGCCTCCTTGTGGTAAAATGACAACTTTGTTAATGTGCAATGATCTGAGACGTTCAGTTCAAAATAAATGCATACTTATATTAGGTCTGTTAACAGTTCTGTTATTTTTAAAGCTTTTTATTATAATTATTATATTTATTTATTTATTTGTTATTTATTTATTAATTTTTTTGAAAATGATAATTGGTCAGAATAACAATACTTTAGTATTGTTATAGTTATACATTTCTGAATACACAGCATTTTTTTTAATTATTATATGTGTATTGCTTCCATAAAAATTGCTGTTTTGGATTATTATATATTTATATTAGATATACTTTAGATATATACTTATTTCTGAGACCATTGGTCTGTGATTTTTCAAGGTATCTCTACAAATTACGGGACCTTCATTTGGATGGAGAGAACTACACAGAAGCAGCGTACACCCTCTTGCTGCACTCCAAATTGCTCAAGGTGAACACACACACACACACACACACACACACTTTCACTTTTGTATCATGACGATTTTGTTAACTTCTGATGTTTTCACACTGAGTTATTGCTGTTTTCTATTCCCCAAAGCTTACCCTCACCAAAACCTTCATCTAAAATTTTATTTTGTTATATTTTTGAATCGTTTCTAGAGTTCACACTTAGCTGATGATTGATTATAAAGCATGTTTGGCTCGCTGTCCCGAAAGCTCCTTAGATCCTCGAGCCCAGGGCTCCCTTCCGTTTGAAGGGCGGAGGGGAGTTTGAGCTCAGGTAGATCTCGAGAACTCCCCTTCCGGTGAACGTGTTAGGAATAGCTGAGAGATTTAGCTGCCTAAGGGTTTGTCTTCTGATGTCACTTTAGATTAGTCAATTTACTTATATTTTATGTCTTTGGACGGTGGGAGGAAACCAGGGAACCTGGGGGAAACCCACGTGAGCATGGGAAGAACATGCAAACTCCGCAGAGAAATGCCAACTGACCCGGTAAGGGCTCAATCTAGTGGTGTTCTTGCTGTAAGGCAACAGTGCTAACCACTGGGCCACCATGCCGCCCTATCAGGAGAAGGGGAGGAGTAGGAATGGAAGGGGGGATTCTTCAAGATGAAGATGACTCAAGTGGAAAACTCTGGTTATTTATAGTGAGTTAGTATTCGTCTTATTGGTGCAATATGTGAAGGTGATGCAGCACCAGCTGTGGTCAATCAAAAGCACGTGCTCCTCTGGAAATTTGTGTCCACACTTAGTTTATTTCTGGTGGCCAAATATCTCGTTTTATGTGGTGACATTCTCCCTTGCATATGAAGTACACACACACACACACACACACACACACACACAAACTGGTTTGTTTTTGTGATTTGTGGGGACATTACATAAGCAGGATGATTTTTATATTGTACAGAGTGTATTTTTATCGGCCTACATCAAACCGTACCCCTTGCAATGTGCATAAACACTTATGTATGATATAAACCTTTGGGGCAACACGGTGGCGCAGTGGATAACATGTTCGCCTCACAGCAAGAAGCTCGCTGGTTTGAGCCTCAGCTGGGTCAGTTTGCATTTCTGTGTGGAGTTTGCATGTTCTCCCCGTGTTCGTGTGGGTTTCCTCCAGGTGCTCCAGTTTCCCCAGTCCAAACACATGCGGTACAGGTGAATTTGGTGTGCTAAAATTGCTAAATATACTAAAATAAAAACATATGCTGGAAAAGTTGGCGGTTCATTTTGCTGTGGCGACCCCAGATTAATAAAGGGACTGAGCCGAAAAGAAAATGAATGAATGAATGAATGAACATTAGGCGGCACGGTGTACTGGGTTGCAGCTGGAAGGGCATCTGCTGCATAAAACATGTGCCAGAATTGTTGGTGGTTCATTCCACTGTGGCGACCCCTGATGATTAAAAGGACTAAGCTGAAGGAAAATGAGTTTTGGAGAACGAAAAACGTTTTGAAAATGGGGACATGTGCAATGTCCTCATAAGTCACCTTCTTCTGTTATATCTATGTCCCACTCATGTCATTATACAAATTTGTGTCTTGGTATGCCACAAAAATCTATTAAAATACACACACACACACATTGCCATTTCTGACACAAGGTCACATATAAGAGAGAGAGATGTTTTGATTGGTTAATGACTCACACACACACACACACACACACACACACTTAGACACACACACACACATACTTTCCTATTTGTGACACAAGGTCATATTTAAGAGAGAGATGTTTTGATTGGTTAACGACACACACACACACACACACACACACACACACTCATCCTGCGTGCTGATTTACTTTCGTCCCTGATGCTCCTCCAGCAGAGAAAACCTCCAGGTCAAATTTATGACATCAGTTCCTGCGTCCCGAAGCAGATTTATACCGCATTTTCACCCTGCTGTCTCTCTCTCTAAGCTCAGAGGAGGAAGAAGCTAAAACACCACACACACACACACACACACACACACACACACACTTCTGACGTTTATATGATGTTTAATGTCCAGAGCATTATAAAGCATGTCTGTTCAGCCTCTCTCTTCATTTCCTGTCAGACAATCCTCAGCCAAACTACAGATCATAAAGTTCATAACACACAAATGCAAAAGTACAATATAAACGGCATCCTGAGAAAAGGAATGCCATAAAGACACACACAAATATATATATAGGGATCAAGTGATGCACTGAGTGTAAGCTTTACTAAACAAATGGGTCTTTAATCTAGTTTTGAATTGAGAGAGTGTGTCTGAGCCTCGGACATTATCAGGAAGGCTATTTCAGAGTTTAGGAGACATAAATGAGGAGGCTCGACCTCCTTTAGTGGACTTTGCTATTCTAGGTACTACCAGAAGCCCTGGGTTTGAAAATCTTAAAGAGCGAGTTGGATTGTAGCGAGACAATAGGTTGGTTAGATAAAAAGGAGCTGGATTATTTAAAGCTTTATAGGTAAGAAGCAATATTTTTAAATCAACAACCCTAACCCTAACAGGCAGCAAGTGTAAGGAGGATACAACAGTGGTGATATCATCATATTTTCTAGACCTGGTAAGAACTCTGGCATCTGCGATTTGTACTAGCTGAAGTTTGTTACTAATAGAGGATTCTGGGCAGCCAGCAAATAGAGCATTAAGCTGCGTTCACACCAGACGCGGAACGCGAGGGCGTGTCAAGCGCGAGTGATTTACATGTTAAATCAATGCAAACGCAGGAATAGACATCCTGCGGCGTGATCCGCGCGAATGGCACGGCGCGAATGACGCAAATTGTGCAAATGGCGCGGGGCGAATAGCGTGATACGCGCGGGGCGAATTGAGCGTTTTCCACGCATGTTTGACGCTCTTAACAAGCGTTTCGCGCGAATCTCTCGATTTCGAAATTCTGAACTTCAGCGGACATTCGCGCCGCGTTAACCAAACATTCATGCCGCGTTAACCAATCAGAAGCTTGCTCTTGTGGGGGTGTGATTGTGACGTAGAACCTGTTGTCGGTGTTCCGAGGGAAATCCTCCAGCCTTCACCGACAACAGTTCATCAAACTGGGCTTGGCTCAGTCAGAAGCACCGCTGAAAGCCTCCGTCATCCAGGTTCAGTTTCTGGAGGAGTTTATGAGCTCACAGAGCTGGATGCACATCTGAAAGGATGTAGTGGACTCAGACACGACCCTAAACGTATCAACGCTGTTTTTCAGTCTTCATAAAACTTATAAACACTGTTATTTTCTTCATAACAACCATGTTAGCCATTTAGCTATGAAGCTAGAGTCACCGGGCAGACAGAAGCCCTGCCCATCACGCGAATCCGCGTCTGTTCTGAAGTGAATTTGACACGCGAATGAAGCGGGGTTTGACGCGCGTATGAAGCGAGTAAACTCAAATGTTCACGCAGCTATTTACGTGCGAATAGCGTCTGGTGTGAACACAGCATTACAGTAATCCAGCCTAGAGTTCATAAAAGCATGGACTAGCTTTTCTGCATCTGAGATAGATAGCATACTTCAGAACTTAGCGATATTTCTCAGATAAAAGAAGGCAGTTTTTGTGACATGGGATATATGATTTTCAAAAGTTAAGTTGCTGTCTAATATGACAAGCAAATCTTTTATAGTAGCGCTAACGCTAACTTTGTATTCAATTGTAGGTTGAGTTGTGAGATCTGCTGTGTACAGGATTTAGGCCCAATAAGTAATAATTCTGTTTTGTCTGAGTTTTAAAGAATGAAATTGTTGGTCATCCAGTCTTTAACATTTTTAATACACTCAGTTAGCTTAAACGGTTCTCATCTCATCAGGTTTAGTTGAAATATATCATTGGGTGGGGCGAAGCAGTAGCGCAGTAGGTAGTGCTGTCGCCTCACAGCAAGAAGGTCGCTGGTTTGAGCTTCTGTGTGGAGTTTGCATGTTCCCCCTGCATTCGGCAAACTCAACCTTTCCTTTCACTCTGCTTGAAGCCCCAGCTGGCTTTCTTTGGCCCAAGGTATTCGGTGGGCCAAAAAAGGCCAGCCGCTGGCCCCGAGGAAGCCCCACTTTGGCCCAGTCAGGCCCGGGAAGTGACAGTGGAAATGCTACTGGCTCGAAACTGGCAACTGGCTCACGCTTGCTTTATGCGAGATACTGGAAATGCGGCTATTGACTTGCCTAGTTACCCTAACTTAACCCTAATTAACCTAGTCACTTAAGCTGAATACTAGTGTCTTGAAGAACATCTAGTCTAATATTATTTACTGTCATTATGGTAAAGAGAAATCAGTTATTATCATTCATTCATTTTCTTGTCGGCTTAGTCCCTTTTTTAATCCGGGGTCACCACAGCGGAATGAACCACCAACTAATCCAGCAAGTTTTTACGCAGTGGATGCTCTTCCAGCCGCAACCCATCTCTGGGAAACATCCACACACTCATTCACACACTACGGACAATTTAGCCTACCCAATTCACCTGTACCGCATGTCTATGGACTGTGGGGGAAACCGGAGCACCCGGAGGAAACCCACACGAAGGCAGGGAGAACAGGCAAACTCCACACAGAAACTCCAACTGATCCAAGGTTCGAACGTGCGACCCATCAACCTTCTTGCTGTGAGGCGACTGCACTACCTACTGCGCCACTGCCTTGCCTAAATCAGTTATTAGAAATGAGTTATTAAAGTATTAGGATTAGAAATGTGTTGAAGAAAATCGGCTCTCCGTTAAACAGAAATCAGGAAGGCTGATAATTCTGACTTCTCAGACAATGTACAATATAATATGATGAATAATTGTTTTGTGGTGAATGTGCATGTTGTGTGTGAATATTTCAGTGGTCAGAGGAGCAGTGTCTGCCTCAGCTGGACTATCAGACGCCTCAGTCTCAGAGACAACTCAAAGAGTCACTCTACGACAACATCATCAGCTACTTCGACAAGGGCAAGGTCTGCTCACACACACACACACACACACACACACACACAGAGCTACTGTCGAACAGGATGTTGATGATGTTTACAAGTGTTGTTTTGTGTGTAAAGTGTTGTTGTTGTTTGTTTTTCTGTGTGTGTGTGTCAGATGTGGGAGGAGGCCATTACTCTGTGTAAGGAGTTGGCAGATCAGTTTGAGATGGAGGTCTTCGACTACGAGCTCCTCGGACAGAAACTGGTAACACACACACACAACACACACCTTCATCTTTCGTAGTAATTAAAAACACAAATTGTCAATTTTGGTTTCAAGCGGACTTTAATCAATTATAATAAACTGAAGTGTGTTTTATTGCTGTGAACTTTCCCCATCACAGAATCAACAGGCCAAGTTCTACGAGAACATCATGAAGATCCTGCGGCCCAAGCCAGACTACTTTGCGGTGGGATATTACGGCTGCGGCTTCCCTCCATTCCTCAGGGTCAGTGTGTATATGATGATATGTGAGTGTGTGTGTGTGTGTATGTAAGTGTGTATGCATGTTTGGACTGTAATATAGTGTTGTGTTCGTCCAGAATAAAGTGTTCATCCACCGGGGGAAAGAGTACGAGCGCAGGGAGGATTTCCAGAGTCAGCTGATGAGTCAGTTTCCCAGCGCTGTCAGACTCAACATCACCACCATGCCTGGAGACGACATCAAAAACTCCAACATGCAGTGTATCCTGCAGTATAATATTTATAATACTTTTTTGTTGCCATTCTTGTATATATTGCATTACATTATATTGATTTAATTAATTCAGACGCATATACTTTTTTGCACTCTCATACTGTATGTTATATTATTTGCATTATGCTTAAAATAATATGAATAATAATAAAGAATAATAGAATAACACCACCTTGCACTAATAGATGATTTAAGACTTTAGTAAAGGAACATGTTAATATAAATATATTATATATATTTAGACTAATGCTTTTTATATTGAAACATCTATTCTGTGAAATTAAGTAAAAAAAATAAATTAAAATAAATCTGTTTACAAAATATTTAGTGTTGAGCACCTGGATGTGAATTGCGCATGCATGGTCAGGTTTGTTGTTCTTATGCGTTCTGCATCAGATATCCAGTGTTTTACAGTGCAGCCAGTTCTAGAGATCCCACCGCGTCTGAAGAACAAACCAGTGCCGGATCAGATCATCAAGTGAGTCTCAGATATCCTCAAACCTTAATTCTCAATCTTCAAACCTCAAACCTCAGTCCTCAATCCTCAAACCTCACTCCTCAATTCTCAATCCTCAATTTTTAAACCTCAGCCCTCAATCCTCAGTCCTCAGTCCTTACTCCTTAATCCTCAATCATCAAACCTCAATCCCCAGTCCTCAATCATCTAATCTCAATCCTCAAACCTCAGTCCTTAATCCTCAGTCCTCAATCCTCAAAGTTCAGTTCTCAATCCTCAATGGTCACTCCCTAAACCTCAATCGTCAATCCTCATAACTCAATCCTCAAACATCAATCTTCAAAACTCAATCCTCAGTTCTCAATCCTTAAACCTCAATTCTAAGTCCTCAAACCTTAATCCTCAGTCCTCAAACCTCAATTCTAAGTCCTCAAACCTTAATCCTCAGCCCTCAAACCTCAAACATCAGTTCTCAACCTCAATCTTCAAACCTCAATCCTCAGTCCTTAAACCTCAATCGTCAAACCTCAGTCCTCAATCTTCAAACCTCAATCCTCAAACCTTAATTGTCAATCATCAGTCCTTAAACCTCAGTCCTCAATCTTTAAACCTCATTCCTCAATCCTCAAACCTCAATCCTCAATCATCACACCACAATCCTGAATACTCAAGGCTTAATTGTCAATTCTTAGTCCTTAAACCACAATCTTTAAACCTCAGTCCTCAATCATCAAACCTCAATCCTCAAATCTTAATTTTCAATCCTCAGTCCTTAAACCTCAATCCTCAAACCTCAGTCCTCAATCTTTAATCCACAAATTTCAATCCTCAAACCTCAGTCCTCAATCTTTAATCCACAAATTTCAATCCTCAAACCTCAGTCCTCAATCCTCACAACTTAATCCTCAAACCTTAATCATAAATTCTCAATCCTCAGTCCTAGTCTAGAAATGCAGATCAGGGGCCTCATGTATCAACGCTGCGTACGCACAAAAACTTTGCGCACGCCAGGTTTCACGCTCAGAATCGCTCACGTTTGGATTTACTAACAATGAACTGAACGTGGGAATGTGCGCAGCTTCACGGCAGCTTTCTGGCTGGCGTACGCACATTTTTTGTGTGTGTCTGTTTTATTTCCATTGGCGACTCCTAGAGGCAGTTGTGTTAAATTGCTCTCTAAAAAGAGACTTGCAATGGCAGCTGTATGAGATGGGTTCAGCAGGTATATAAGGTTTCCATACCATACATTTGACCAGCTAAACATTAAAGCACAGTTTGCAGCAGTCACCTGTTTTCCCAATGTAATCTGAGCTATCTACCGCACGCAAATTGCTATAAAGACACTATCTGAAGATGAATTTGCATGCGTGAATCAGAAACATTTCCATTCAATAAATGTGCAAATAAAATATGATGCTTATTGATATGAACTTATTGATGATTCCTACTAGTCTTTCTCGTGATAAATAGTTGGCAAAATCTGATATGAAGTGGGGGAAAAAAGAAGAAAGAGTTCATCAGACGCTGGATTCGAGCCGAGTTCATGCTCGAACGTATCAATTCATGATCACAAGCGTCTTACGAGTAGCGCCACTGAGACTGTTAAGCGTCCTGCAACATTTTACAGATATAAACCACACTATTTCTTTTTTTTACACACTCAGTGCGATGTTCAGACCCAACTGTGTTGACCGCATCAGCTGAACTCTTCCACTCTATTTTTTTCTTTTGTTGTTAATTCCGGAGAACAAACTTGCAAATAACACCGCTTTCCTCCGGTCTACCTCAGAAAGCAGCACCTCCAATTCACATTCTGTTCAAAGTTTCTCTTTTTGCTTGATTTTGCCTTTGCTTTTTCGTTGGGTTTTGCCATTAGCATAGTCATTAGCATATTCATACGGGGGAGGAGGCAGGGAGGGGTTTGTGCTCGTGCATGTTGCGCTCAGTTTCACGTTCATTCGGATGTACAAAAGAATATGCGTGAGATTCGGTGTACGCAGTGTTTCATACATCTGAATTTTTTTCTGCGTACGCACATTTACAGCTTTGTGCGTACGCAATGTTTTAGTAAGATTTTCACACAAGTCTTCGTACATGAGGCCCCTGATGTTTTCTGCACTTCTTTTGCAGTTTCTACAAGTCCAACTACGTGCAGCGATTCCAGTATTCCAGACCCGTCAGGAAAGGAAAAGTAGATCCTGACAATGAGTTTGCTGTGAGTCACACACAAATACTTTTTGTCTCTTTCATACACACACACACACACACACACACACACTGATATAATGATGTGAGTTGACTCTTGTCTTGTGTCTTCAGTCGATGTGGATTGAGCGCACCACATTCATCACCGCATACAAACTGCCGGGAATCCTGCGCTGGTTTGAGGCCATCAACATCACACACGTGAGTCTCACAGCTGTACTCTGCGCAGTGTGTGCGGCATGACTTTACACTGTTGCATGACTACATTCTGCATTGTCAGTTCTATTTAATGCACTAATGTTCAGCGTTACCTGAGGAATACATCATTATTTGGAAGAATAAGGTCAATGAGTATCGTTATTTTTTCCACCAGACCACGATCAGTCCTCTGGAGAATGCCATTGAGACGATGGGACAGACCAATGAGAAGATCCTCACCATGATCAACCAGTACCAGTGTGATGAGACGTTACCCATAAACCCCCTGTCCATGCTGCTCAACGGCATCGTGGATCCTGCCGTCATGGGAGGATTTGCCAAATACGAGAAGGTCAGGCTCAGAGGAGTGTGTGTGCGTGTGTGTGTGAGTGAGAGTGTTTTTTTTGTTTGTGTGTGTTTCTGTGTGTGTGTGTGTGTGTGCATGTTTGTGTGAGAGTTTGTATGTGTTACACATGTGCCTGTGTGTATGTTTGAGAATGTGTGTGTTTGTGCATTTTTCTGGGGTTTTGTGTGTGTGTAAAGGACTGAGTGAGTGAGTGACTGAGTGTGTGTGTGTGTGCACATGTGCCTGTGTGTAAGTGAGAGTTTGTAAAAATGCATGCAAATATGTGTGTGTGTGTGTGTGTGTGTGTGTGTGTGTGTGCGTGCATGCATCTCTGTGAGAGCGTGTATGTGCCTGTGTATAAGTATGTTTGAGAATGGGTGTGTGTTTTTGTGTTTGTCTGTGTGTGTGCGCGTGCATGCGTCTGTGTGAGAGTTTGTGAAAATCTGTGTGTGTGTGTGTGTGTGTGTGTGCGCGCAACTGAGCATGCATGTATCTTTGTGTGTGTGTGGCTGTATGTGTGTTTGTGTCTGTTTGTGTGTGTAATAGAGAGAGTGTCTGTGTGTGTGTGTGCGCAACTGAGCATGCATGTATCTTTGCATCTCTCTGTGTGTGTGTGTGTGTGTGTGTGTGTGTGTGTGTGTGTGTGTGTGTGTGTGTGTGTTTGTGTGTGCGTGCATGCATCTGTGTGAGAGCGTGTATGTGCCTGTGTGTAAGTATGTTTGAGAATGGGTGTGTGTTTTTGTGTTTGTGTGTGTGCACGTGCATGTGTGAAAGTTTGTGAAAATGTGTGTGTGTGTGTGTGTGTGTGTGCACGCAACCGAGCATGCATGTGTCTTTGCGTGTGTGTGTAATAGAGAGAGAGAGAGAGTATCTGTGCGTGTGTTTGTGTGTGTGTGTGTGTTTGTGTATGTGGGTGGGTCTGTGCAAGTGTATGCAGGCACTGCGTGTGTGTGTGTGTGCCCCCCACATTTGTGTGTGTGTGTGTGTGTGCAAGTGTCTGCATGTGTGTGTCTAGGTGTGTGTGTGTTTGAGAGAGAGAGAGAGAACACAAAGAAAAATATTAGTGTGTGTGTGCGCGCGCAGGCCTTCTTCACAGACGAGTACACACACGAACATCCAGACGACAGAGAAAAACTGATGAGACTGAAGGACCTCATTGCATGGCAGGTCAGACTCTACACACACACACACACACACACACACACACACACACACACACACACACACACACACACATATTTTCACAAACTTTCACACATGCACGCGCACACACACAAACACAAAAACACACACCCATTCTCAAACATACTTACACACAGGCACATACACGCTCTCACACAGATGCATGCACGCACACACACACACACAGAGAGATGCAAAGATACATGCATGCTCAGTTGCGCACACACACACACAGACACTCTCTCTATTACACACACAAACAGACACAAACACACATACAGCCACACACACACAAAGATACATGCATGCTCAGTTGCGCGCACACACACACACACACACAGATTTTCACAAACTCTCACAGAGATGCATGCACGCGCACACACACACACACACACACACACACACACACACACACACACACACACACACAGAGAGACATAATGATACAAAACGTTTATAGTTTAAAAAATTTGTAGTCAAAATAAAATCATATGGTCCATGTATACATTGCATTTTAAAAAAACAATGTTTACACATCCATGATAATGACAGAAAGCGGCACAATAAAAATATCAGGCCAGTTTTTGGTGTTGTCACCTGGTTATTAAATCATTCCCGATGTGCCAGCTCCCATATTTTTATACAGTCCATGTTTTATTTATATTTTGCAATGTGTGTAAAAGGTGTCTTTATATTTGGTTGTAAAGTGAAGTAAATTCACACTTTGCTGATGAATCATTAGGAAACACTTGAGAAACAATTCCACCACGTACTCCGCCATTGTTGTGTATGTTTGCAGTTGCCTTCAATCTACACCTCCCCTAAACACCTACTAGTCACCCGCATGACCTCGTCGTTTAAAAGACTCTCATTGTCTTGTGTTTACACAGACATGACAATTGG